GCCCGCGCTCGGGCCGGCAGTGGTACGTGGCACTCAACAAGCGGGGCAAAGCCAAGCGGGGCTGCAGCCCCCGCGCCCGGCCCCAGCACGTCTCCACGCACTTCCTCCCCCGCTTTCGGCAGCCCCAGCCCCCCGAGCTCGCCTTCACCGTCACCCTCCCTGAGAAGAAGCCCCCGCCACCGCCGAAACCGAAGGTTGCCCCGTCCCCACCTCGGAAAAACCCCGGCCCTGTCAAGTACCGGCTGAAGTTTCGGTTCGGGTAGCACGCCATGGCGGGGACACTGGCGCGGGAGAGACCGGGCAGCTTTTGGGGGTGACCCCGCGGGAGTCCCGCGTCCCCCCTCCCCGGACGGACGTGGGGAGGCTCTGGGTAGCCGTGCTGGGCTCGGGGTCCTTCTCTTTGCCCCGCAAAGCGGACGGCATCCTTGGAGGCGCGTGCTGGGACGACGCAACTTGGGCTGTCCAAAGCGTATTGCTGTGGTGAGCAGAAAACACGCGGTGGACCTCGGGTTAATTTTCTGTTGTTGACAGAAGCAGAAAGGTATCTCTATGGCGAACATATTTTCTTACCTTATTTTCACTAGTGACTCTTTTGACAATCATTTTCATACAAGAGATATGTTCAGAGCCAACCTATTAAGTGCTTTTTTTTTCCCTTCTTGTCTTTTTTGCGTCTCCTTTTTGCTGCACTTTTTTCCTCTGACCATACCTCAGACACCGTATATCCAGGTCTGCCCCTTCCCCTTCTCTTACAGTCCAGCTCCTCCCTTCCACAAAAAAACAACGAGACCAAGCCCAACAAAATCATTCACCTTATCTGTGGTGCAAGGGGGTCTTAAAACTCTTTGTTGGCAATAACAGGTTTTTTGGTTTGTTTTTTTTTTTTTGTAAGGGTTGCAGGCTTGGGGAGGGCGGCTGTTCGCAGCCCGGTCCTGGTGGTCTCTCCCGTTCTTCCCTGGACAGCTGGAGGAGTGAGTCTCCTCCTGTCCATCAAAGTATGGCTTTGATTTCTGTGTTTAAAATACCTCTGCCCCGGAAAAAGTGGGGAGGAAGCCACGCCGAACCCCCTCCCGGGGGGGCGGCCGGGGGGAGCCCCTCCACACCCCTGCTCCCTGGGGACGGGGACGCCTTTGGCCCTGGGTGCCCACCGGTTTCTTCCGACAGTTTGCACTGCTGATTTATTTTATCATTCACAATACACTTACAGAGGGAAGGGGAAAGGGTTTTATTTTATAGCGAGCGTGGCGATGTGGCAATAAACGCTGTTACAGCTACTTGTAACTTCGGAAGTGTTTTTTCCCACCCAGGCTGCCCTATGGCCCCGCCTGTTGAATTGTTTCTCCGCTGTGGTGTTACCTGTGGAGTAATTGCGCGTATGGAGTTTTTAATCGGCATTTAGCTGTGTTGCATACATACAGAAAATGGTAGCATTGAACCTCACCGGTTAAGCCTTAATAGGAGCCCAGGCGGGCTCATGTTAGCAAAACCCCTCCCAACCTGAGCCCTGCCACTCTTGAGCAGCAATAACGAGGGCAGGCGGCGCTGCCGAGCCTTTTCTCCAAATCTGATCATGGTACAAATGGCTATTTCCATTGAAATTGTGGTTCTTCACCCGTCGTCCTCCTGGGCGGCCCCTGGCCGGACGTATCCGCTCCACGTGGCAGCAAACGCTTTTGCACAAGGGCGCGCGCTCCACGTGCGGGGATGGATGGGGACGCCTGAATAAAATATAATCGTGCTTCATTTATAACCTGGTTGTGTAATCTCTTCTTGCCTGTCTGCTCTCCGTGCATTTTTTTTCTTTCCTTTCCCTGAAGGAAAAAAATGAGTGTTGCTAAATTAGCCACTACCCGTGTTTTTGAGGGTTTGGCTGGCGTGGTATCGGCGACAGGGTAGAGCGGAGCAAAATTGGTGCCTCTGCTTCCTCTGTATGCCGCACTCCGCGTACCGCGTGCCGAGACAAACCTCCCGACGGCTCCTCCGGGGCAGTTGTTTGGGCCTGAGTCACAGCGGGGCAGCGCGAGCCAAACCCGGGCGCGTTGCGTACCCCGGCCGTTTCCAGCGAGACAGCCTGACCACGAACTTACAGAATTCAAACAACGCTGCTTATCTGCTGTTCAGCAGCCAGGCACAATTAGGTGTAATTAATGTTCAGTGAAGCATGGGGCTACCTAAATGAACTAATTGAATGAAAACGTTTGCAGGAGCCGCGTGGGAGGGTGCTGTCCTCAGCCTCCGCCCCGGGTGGGTGCCTGGAGCTCCCCGGGCAGGTAAGAGGAGCAAAAGTGCCTGTCCCTTGCTGCCGCTGTTTTCCCTCGGAGGGGAAAAGGGTTCTTTTTTAACCTTATATTAAGGAAAATGCTTGTTGATAACTAGCCTGTATGACAAAAAAATGCTTTGGTCCCTGTTGTTTCTGGACAAAAACTGATCCCGAACTGCGCTGTGATGCCAGCATCCAGTGTTTGCCATAGCAACTACCGGGAAGCGCTGCTTGCTCTGTTGTGGTTGCCGGGAGGGACGGGAGCGCGGGGGGCCGCGGTTTGAGCACGTCGCCCTCGGGACTCACCGGAGGAAAGCGGGGTGCTGCCGGCGGTCGCGTTGCCCCCGAG